TTCTCAGCCACATCTTAACTGCAGTCTCAGGTACCAGATCGCCCACCCAGTTTCAAAACTCCTGAATGACACACATGATTGTTAAAACTGAGGTCATGTTAGTAAAGTCAAATCATAACTACTAGAGAATTCTGGTCAAATGAAAGATTAAGTGTTCTGAAGAGATATCTAATGTTTCATTATTAAAACAAGATCCCAAGAAAGCCATGAAAATGTCCTCTCGTTGCTGGGGTGATGCTGCCTCAGAGCTGAGCCGCCATTTTTCTCCCTTGAAGTCACTGGTGGACTTGAACCAACTGAGACGTGTGACATTCTGTGTTAGCAGCAGCACCACCTCTAGACTACACCACTAGAGCATCTTGATTTAAGCAATTTGTTTACTGGGTTTGTTAAACTTCAAAGCCTATTAATTTGGAGGTACAAAGAAGAAAGTACACGTGAGACACTTAATTAGTAAAACTCAAGTGGCTTGAAACAGACTACATGAGTTTGCAAAAGAAATGCTTCCATTCACATTAGAAATGTGCCTCTCATTTCTAGTCTCTTATGAAGCAAATGAAAGCTGTGAACAAGGAACGGAAAGGGAAGAAAGGGCACATAAACAGAAACTTTTAAAAAGGAAGTAGTGGTAAAGTGCTAGAGAATGACACATGCACAGAAAACACCAGTGCCCGGTGAAGCAGAACAGAGCGTTCTAGGAAAGAGGTCCCCAGGAAGCGGGATAAATGAGGTTTCAGCACTTGAAGAAAATAACTGAAAAAACAAAGTAGTCAATCAGATAAAAAAATTGACGTTTTAAACCCAATTTTCTGGCTCTTTGACCCCCCCCCCAAAGTTCAGTATAATCACAATACCCCCTCTAACTTCCAGTGGGGGAATGAGTTGTTATGTGCTGTCAAGTGGCTTGAGACTCATAGTGACCCTATGTATAACAGCCCTAAACCCTGCTCTATCATGTGCCAACCTCACCGTCTCCAACACACTTACTCCCACCACCCCAATCACTGAATTGATCCGTCTCAAGGGTCTTCCTCTCCTGTGCTGTCCCTCCACTCTGCCAAACATGATGTCCTTCTCCAAGGACCAGTCCCTCCTTGCAACATGCCCAAAGTATGTCAGATGAAGCTTCAGAATCCTTGCCTCCAAGGGGCAGGCTGGCTTCATCCTCTCAAGGATAAACCTGTTCATTCTCTTGCAGTCCATGGTATATTCAAGACTCTTCTCCAGCACCAGAGTATCTTCTGTAAATGTTGCTGGGAAAAATGGATTTTCATATGCAGGATCCATGCTTCATATGGTGCACAGAACCATATTCAAAACTGATCCAGGACCTAGACATGCACTTAACCCATGAAGTTCTTTGAACAAGTGAGTACAACACTGTCAAAACAATAGTTATCTAACAGAAAAGCATAAACAGCAAAAGCCAAAACCAGATATCAAATGTTAATAAGCTAATGGAAAGGAAAATAAGCCAATCATAAAACTGGCAAGTAACTTAGACTTTTCACCAAAGAGGAAGTTCAAAAGCCCAAAACTCATGAAAAGATGTTCAACATCATTAACCATCAGAGATATGCAAAGCAAGAATGCCTGAAATGCACACACACAAAAAGAAATTATGTTGACTATGTAGGGTAACTAACCTTAATCTACTGCTAATGTGGATGCAAAACAGTACAACCATTATAAACGTGTGGTGGTTCTTAAAAACGCTAAAAATAGAATGACCAGATGATTCAAATTTCACTCTTGTATTCCCAAAAGAGGGCTCTGTGGTGGAGTCTTGAAAGGCGTTGCACTGCTCATGCAAAGGCTTATCTCTGGTGGTTCAAATCTGATGACCTCTCCTTGGGAGACAGATGGGCAATGTGGTTTACAGTCTCAGACACCCAAGAGTATCCCTTATCAATTGGTTCTGACTCCAAGCAATGGGTGAGAGATACACCCAAAATATTTAAAAAGAGACTCACAAAGAGTGTGTATCAATATTGATTACAGTACAATTCACAACAGCCAAAAGCTGAACATAACCTAAAAATGCCCTTCAACATATAAATGAACAAATTTAATAAAGTACAAAAAGTAGACTACTACCACTTTTCAGTAGGAAAAATGAAGAAGTGATACACGCTGCAATATGGATATAGGTTGAAGACACAATCTTATGAAATAAATCAAACACAAAAAGACTTAAGACTTCACTTATAAAAAGACAAAAGGCAAATACATAGATCAAAGCTTATTAGTGGTTATTAGTGTTTGGAAAAGGAGAAAAAAGGGGGCCAACAAGTGATGAACCATATATTAGAGTTGCGCAGCTGATTATTTAATTGCCACTCATGTTAAAAAGCTGAGCGGGCAAAAATTACTTGACATATTTAACATATTTAACAGCACACACACAAGAGAGTAGCTGATGAGGCTGGTAATTACATCTGGAGACTTGATTGCATTTGGTGCTCTGGTTTAGAAGGTGAGGTCATGGTTTCGTGGGACCTCCTAGTTACTTGGTGCTCCTGTTCTACTTCCTGATTCATTACCCAGTAGCTAGGGTCTTAGAAACTTGTAAGCAGCATCTAAGGTCTATTTGGTTTCTATTCCCCTCAAGTCATAAGAGTCAGGAATAGGAGGAACTCAACGTGGGCTAACTGCCTCCAAGGACAACTTTATCATGAGCTACTAGCTCAGGACATGCCTGGCTACCATTACTAAACATTTTGATCAGATTTCATAGAATGCTGATCAAACTGGGAGGAGGGTAGAGAGAATAGTGCAACAATGAATGAGTGGAAGCCCAAAATCTCTGTAAATGTTTATGAAAATTAATAAAATATA